TTATATGCTACAATTTGCAGCTCAAACCCCTCCGTTCGGCGGAGTTTTAGAGAAGGTTCTGTCATCCCCAGACCAGGTCTCATCCCTAAATGCAGAAGTCCAGGAACTTATGGTAAAAGAGGTAATTTCCACTGTTCCCGACCTTCCCACCTTCCCTCAGCGCATGTCAGCTCACATCAGCATGGATGTGAGCCCGCAGCCTGTGCGCGGCATGGGAACGCCACGCACCCGCGGCAGTCCTAAACCGGTTCTGCATGCTCGGGGGCGCGCGCACCTTCCCTCAGCGCATGCCAGCTCACATCAGCACGGATGTGAGCCCGCAGCCTGAGTGAGGCACCCATGACGGCGGTGATTGGCGTCCGTAAATAACGTGACGCAGCATAAACGCGTGCCCGCTTCCCGAACGTTACACGAAGAGGCAGCGAGCGTGCGCTCCAGATAGATGGGTGAACCGTTTATCGGCAGGGGATTCACGCTGTAGTACAGCTCAATCCCCCGTTCAGAGGAACTCTAGAAATATTTTCTGTCATCTCTTGAACAGATCTCGTCCCCCCTCACAGAAGCTCAGGAAATTCTGATTAAAAATGTAATTTCCAGGATCCCAGAAGGAGAGGAAAACACAGGATTCCGCTCTCGTCACTTCCTGGTCCCAAATGGACTGGAAGGATGAGATTCATATTAGATTTGTCAATATTGAACTGTGAGACAACATTTCCATTTAAAATGCGTCGAGTCGCTCTGCAGCCGCCACACAGAGCAGGGAGGAGAATTCTGCTTTATCTGGACGGTCTGTTGATGCTGACCCGCTTTTCCAGACAGGTAGCAGCAATGCAACTCACATGAAACCGGCAGAGTGATAACAGCTGTTTCCTTCAGCAAACTTACGTCACACGTGTCTGACTTCACAGAGGCACATACATTTCTCGAGCTGTGGGGGCGCTGTGGCCACTCCACACAGTAACTCATATAAATATTTTTGGAGTGTCAGGGGTTTTGAATGTGATTCAACACTTTGCCTCTGTGCTACGGAATCATCATGTGTTGACTCATACAGATAGCAAGTGACTGCTGCATACATAACCGGCGGGGGGGGGGGGGGTGCGTGCTCAGCCCAAATGTTACACATTGTGAGACAGCTACTGTGTTGGGCTCACCAAAATCTGCTCTCCATCAGAGCAGTGTACATCCCCGGTGTTCTGAACAGGGGGCGGATGTGATGTCCAGGGACGGTCCCCGTCACGGGGACTGGACCCTCCATCCAGAGCTTATGGCTCAGACGTGGCAGAAATTTAGCAAAGCGGCTGTGGACCTGTTTGAAACATGAGAGAACGCTAAATGTCAACTATGGTATGTCAACTATGGTTCTCACTGAGCCCGCGAGATGAACCACAGCTAGGGGTGGACGCCTTTGCTCACAGCCTGTGGCCCAAAACGCTTCTTTACGCATTTCCCCCACTCCCTCTGATATCACGGTTTCTGAACCGAGTTAGAGAGGAGGGACTGACAGCTCTCCTGGTGGCTTCCGAGTGCGTGAACGCCCCATGGTTCCCAGTTCTACGACACCTGTTATTGGGGCGCCCGTGGAAACTGCCGTGGAGGGAGGATGCTTTCCTCCAGGCGGGAGGAGCGATCAGGAGGTACCCAGAAATAGGCCAGCACCTTTGGGTCTGGCCGCTGAGCGGATCCGCTTGGAGAGGATGGGACTCTCTCAAGATGTAGTGCGAATGATCCAGGATTCACGTGTTGCATCTACCACAGCACTGTACAAATCAAAGTGGACAGCTTTTCAGTGCTGCTGTACGGAGAAAGGTGTAGAGGCCACCTCATATCCACTAGGTGGTGTGCTGTCCTTTCTGCAGCAGCTGATGGACAGAAATCTGGCATTCAGCACGATTAAAACGTACGCTGCAGCCATTTCTTCTTGTCACAAAGGTTTTCGGGGACAGAACAGCTTTTAATCATCCGCTGATGAAGCATTTTTTAAAAGGTGTACAGAGACGCAGGCCTGTTTTCACGCCCACTTGCTCCACAGTGGGATTTAACGCTGGTCCTGCGAGCCCTGATCAAAGCTCCATTTGAGCCACTAGATCAGTTTCCGATTAAATTCTTGTCTTTTAAAACAGCCCAGCTGTTGGCTTTAACATCCGCTAAGAGGGTGAGTGATTTATCTGCCCTCTCTGTCGCTCCGTCATGTCTCAGAACTTTGGCTGATGGCAGCTCAGCTGATCTGAGGCCTAATCCAGCGTTTTATGCCTAAAACATCACGAGCTCTTTAAATCAAGAGCAATTTCGTTGGAGGAATTTTTTTCCCTCGTCCCCAAAATCAGAAGAAGAAGCGTCTTTCCATCTTCTCTGCCCTGTACGTGCGTTGACGTGTTACCTAACACGCACGGTGGCATTGCATCAGACTCAACATTTGTTTGTGCACTATAGAGACGTATCTGCAGTTCGCCCGTTATCCACCCAGTGCCTGTCACACTGGCTGTGTGAGGCCATTTCTGAAGCCTACAGAGCATCAGATTTAAAGCCTCCTGACAACCTCAGGTCGCACTTGACCAGAGGTATTGCATCTTCGACTGCTTTGCATAATAGTATGTCAATGCAGGATATTTCCACTGCGACCGCGTGGTCAACATCCTGTTCATTTATTCGCTTTTATTTACGTGATGTGACGGTTCGTTCCATGACACATTCTGTCCTTAGTGTTTTTACAGAATGAATTTTGTTGTTTCATGGAATCTCGTTTAAACTCACATCTGACTGCATGCATTTACAGTGTGAGATGTTATTGGTCACAAGTTATGACTGTTATTCTTGTTCTATGGTTATTAATCAGTTCATGACTACTGTCATCAATCAGTTCATTTGATTAATAATCAGTTCATTTATTTTTAATCTTTTTATATCGAAGAGCCGTGGATCTGCTCTGTTCACGGCCTTTTCAGCCTCTCCTCTTTTCTGTTGAAAACCTTTCCGGGGCGTTCATGCACTCGGAATGCGTAAATTACGCAGTGTGCGTCTGTGCATGGTGCGCGTAATTATGCAATGCGTATTTACGCACATGGAGAGCTGAGTGACAAGATGTTTTTTTGGGCAAGTGCGCGCTTATGGTGTTCGAATGGACCCAGTGAGGCAGAGACTACATCTGCTTCGCCCTTAACCCACTAAGCGACAGCTCTTAAAGGGAGAAGCCTATACAAAATAGAACATTGGTTACATACTGTAACCCCAGATTCTATGAGTATAGGTGTAACCCTTTAAGGGTTGGGCCTCACTGGCTCCTAAATGGCTGAAGAAAAAGCTATTTGGGAGCCGATTATCTGCTCTTAACGTAATTTGTTGTGTGGGCGTGGACTCAATTTTTTCAGTGCGATGCTTTGCATAACGGGATAAAACCCACTAAGCGACAGCTCTTAAAGGGCTACGCCTATACACATAGAATCTGGGGTTACAGTACGTAACCAATGCTTGCTAACTTGAGAGGCTTGTAGTTAATGACAAGCGGGTTGGAGGATAAAAGAGAGTGTATTATTGTTCATTTATTTAATTTTACAGATCAGTTCAAATAAACTTACCATGCTCTATTCAGCAAAATGCACCACACAATATTGCTCCCTGCTTCAGCTGTGATGAACATCAAAGTAAAACTTAAGGTCATGACTTGAAAATAGTCGTCATGCACCCTCTGCTGGATAATTATACAATTATGGGTGGATCCCAGCGTTTTGTGGTGAAAATTAGGAGTGTTTCAATTCAATTCAATTCAAAAATACTTTACTAATCCCAGAGGGAAATTATTTGTTGTTGTAACTCGTTATCCTCATTTCATTAAGAGATGTTATAGATACTGATGGCTGTACAGGAAGGATCTCTTGTAAAGGTCCATCCCACAGTGGATCCTAAGAAACTGGCTGCAGATGCCGTCTGATCCGTCCACCCAGACTCTGCTGGCCTCTCGGTTCCTCCGGGCTGTAGGACCGCCTGAATGCCGGGCAGAACTCCTCCCAGAGCGATGGCCACTCCTCCCAGCAGTCTGCTGAGCTCCTCGTTGTTGCGGACAGGCAACTGTAGGTGTTGTGGGACGATCCTGTCCTTCCACTGTCTTGAGCTGTGTTTCCTGCTAGTTCCAGGTTTCTGTAGTGTTTAAGTAATAGTCCCTCAATACTTGCGGTCTGACTTTCACGGACTTGCTCTTTTGCGGTTTTTCAAAGTAAGATTGTACATGACATGATTGGCTGATTGATGGATGAGCCGCATGAGCGGCATGGATTGTTTATTTAAAATAATGTTTTTTTAATGATTTAGCACCTGCTGCACCTGTGGGCTGCACTATTTTTTTTTTTGTTTGTTTGTGTACTACACTGAAGTGCTCCCTAGTCTCTGCCAGTTTGTCTAATTGCTTCATACCTGAAGTAATCCCTGCTCTGTTCCTGACCCACTTCGTGACACGGATTTCTCCCCTTTGCCTCCCCAAGACGGATGTTTCTACCCATCAGATATCTGGACCTCGACTTCTGCTCTGCCTTCAGACCACCGCTTCCAGCTAAAACCCTCTAAGTTTTGCTTCCCTGCCTCTATGTGAATGACCCACGTCTGTATTTTTTACCACAAACTCAGACTCCGGACTCTAGAAGTTGAGCTTTCGAACAGAAATCAGTCCAGAACCACAATCAGAGCTCTCAGAAATCCATTCATTATCTATTAACTGTCAAAAAAAAAATCAACCCAGCTCTGACCAGCCCGCCACAATGACGATACATAACTACGAGGCATGTCAATGAAAATAATTACATTTAATCAGTGTGAAAGGTTGAATATATATTACAGTTGAATGTATGTACCTGGACAAAAATGGGTGGGGGGGGGAGACTGTGGATTTATGTGAACCGTTCCACGAGTCTGTTCATGTTGGTTCTAAGTATTTACTACATCATAGAGCTTGTTGAAATTCAGAGGAATGTTCTCCTGATGGCTGCTTTTTGTGAATGTGTGTCACCCAGACAGGCCCAGTTCTTGCACCGCCAGGCTCTCAGTGAGCAGTTGAAGGAGACGGAGGATCCGGCTCTGGTTCTCCACCTGACTAGTGTTTTGCTGTTTCAGACCAGCACCCACTGCATGCTGGATACCCCGGGCCGCTGTGTCCCACAGATTATAGGGACTCTCACAGGCAGGATCCCCACGGTATGTCTCACACACACACGAAGTCCCACTAGAAGACTCCAGAGAGCGCTTGGGTCAAATGGGGCAATGATTCCAAAAACTGCAACAAATCTAAAACAGAATAGCTCAAAAAGAAAAAAGAGTTAAGGTGTTGCAAAAATTCAGACCGCAGCCTGATTGAACCTTGGGTCAGCAAGTGTTCTAGTTTTTTTAACGTCTCTTGTCAACCAGACCCCACTAGTTGTGCAGCAGACACTGCACCTGGGAGAGGGCAGTGGCAACGGTTCAGCCCCAAGACCTCCAATCGTTAGTTTTACTAGATCCAGATAAAACTGAGACTTGAAGCACTGAGAGCTAAGATTTATCCCAAAGGAAACTTAAAAAGGAAACTAGCTAATGGATGATTTGATCGGTCTTTCAACCCTTACCCATATTGGTTTGTAATTTAGGAACCAGATACTGAAAACAAATGTTCACATACTTGTGCCATTCACAAATATGTATTGGATCATTTTCCTCAATAAATTAATGACCAAGTATAATATTTTTTACATGGGTTCTCTTTATCTCCTTTTAGGACTTTTGTGAAAATCTGATGATGTTTAGGTCATATTTATGCAGAAATACTGTAATTTCCAAACTATAGAGTGCAACTGAGTACTGTATAAGCCACGCACACTAAATAAAAAAAATCAAATAAATTTCACATGTATAAGCCGTGCCATTGTATTAGCTGGAGGTTTTTACATTGTAACACAAGTGGCAGCTCACAGCTGCTGAGAGAGATGTGCAGCTCTTGTTGTAGATCAAGAATCAACCACCAGATGTGTTTTATAGACTTTATTTTACTGTTCAACACAGACGGACAGAGTGAACCCCACAGGTTCTATTTCGTATAGGCTTCGCCCTTTAAGGCTGTCGCTGGTGGGTTTATCCTGTCATGCAAAGCATCGCACTGAAAAAATTAGTCCACGCCCACCTGTTGTGTGGGCCCCACCCGGTCTGTATAAATTACGTTAAGAGTGGGTAATCGGCTCCCATTTTTCTTCAGCAAGCGTAAAGCACTGAGCTTCAACAACGATGTCCAGCACCAAGGTCATCCGCCTGTGTCCGTCCTGCAAGACCGACTACATGTTGAGTTTCGACCGGCACGACATCTGCGAAGGATGCCTGGGTCCCCACCATGCCGACCTCGCCTTCTCCTGCCACCTCTGTGACCTCCTCCCCCCAGAGGAGAGGCAGAGGCGAGCAGCCTTGTTCAAGGCTAACGTCGAGGAGTGCATCTCCGTGGCGGGGGACTGTTCGCTGGACGACGCCATTGATTTTTTTCAACGCCGGCTCGGAGCGAATCGGATGGTTCTTCCGGGACAGGCGATGTCAGCAGCAGCCCTGCTGCTCACTCCCTCCTGGAGAGCGTGGTGTCGGGACGAGGAGGGCCGAGCAGATGCTCACCCCCCCGAGCCTTTCCGCATCAGCGACCACACCGCTCCCAGCCGTCAGTGCCCTCCTCTCGGAGCTGCCCGGCATAATTCAGGATGCGGCTGACACGAAGGGACATTCCGTCCCTCTCCTCCCCCTGCCCAGATTGAATGATCTAGTGGGAAGGTTTGGCTCCACCCCGGCTCGCCGTCCTGATCCCATCTGTCCTCATTTTCCAGCAGTGACGTCCTACTGGAACGAGGCTGCAGCCGGACCTGGTAGACTGAGTGCGCCGGCTTCCACATTCGCGTCCATCACCCATCACCAGAGTGGAGGGGTTTACTGAGCGGAGTTTTCCCTCGGTGCCCCCCCTGGAGCCAAGTCTGGCGGAGGCTCTCGGAGCAAAGATGTCCAGGCTGGACCAGCGTCCTGTGCCTCCGGGGAGGCATGACCAGACTTTGACGTCACTCTCCAACCGAGCTCACCAATGTGCGTTCCAGGCGGCCGCAGCAAACAATAATTTTGCGCTGCTAGCGTACAGCATTTATAAGAGGTTGGAACAAACAGACCTGCCTGAGGAGATGAAGAGCTCCCTCTGTAAGGCATCTGACGTCATCCTGAACCTGTACGCCTCTTCTGCTGTTTGCCTGTCTCGCATTGCAGCCTGGATGACAATGGTTCAGTGATCCACCTGGCTCCGTCACTTCCCCTCCCTGCCGAAAAAGCTGCAGAAGGACTTGTTGGAAGGCCCCATCACGACAGATGCGCTGTTGGGAGCCAACTTCAAGGCCATGCTTGACAACTCAAAGAAGTCGGAGGAGGTGTCGGAGGCTGTGTACCATATGGTCAAACACCCCCCCCCCCCCCCCGCTCGCTGGAGAGAGTGATGTGACCAAAGACAGCAGCAAAGACGTGCCACAGCTGCAGCAACGTCTTCTCGCTTTGCTCCACCACCGGCCCCTCCCGTCAGAGAACAGCCCTCCTCATCCCGGCATCCAGCGGTACAGCGTTTCCCCAGAGACTGCCAACTGGCACCCCCCTGGAAGAACCAACCGCAAGGCTCACGGGGGAGAAGATTCAAAAAGTGATGCGGAGGATGTGTGTGTGCAAAATGATGGTTCGAGTTTTGAAATAAAATGTAAACATCATTTAGGAATTTAAGTGTCTGATTTCAGCCTGTCTGTCAGTTCGGATGATCTCACAGCGGCTTCTCCTCACACATCCTCTACACAAAACGAGTCGGTGTCCTTCCAACAGGTTTTTAAAAATCACAGCTGATCAAAAAAAACAAACAAAGGCACGTGTGACACAGCAGCCAAAAGTAAATGTTTTCAGTAGACCGAGTCCAGTGGGAATCCTCGCTCTCAACCTAAGCCGTTTGCCGCCTCCTCTGACCGCAACGGCGGCAAACGCGCACCCCCACGGCAGCCTTCGCCGAAGCGGCACCGCATGGCCAAGGGCGCGCGCGCCTCCCCTCAGAGCACGCCAGCTCACATTAGCACGGATGTGAGCCCGCAGCCTGAGCGAGGCAAAGAGGTGCCTTCAGAGCCCTTTTGAGAAAGCTTCACCTTGGGTTGCTCGAAGCACGCCTTCCCAGCACATGACAGTGGTAGAGGCTGTAAATCGGTTGACGTCCGTAAAAAACATGACGCAGCACAGAGACGCGCGTCCGCTCCCCGAACGTTACGCAGAGTGTCAGCGAGCGTGCACTCTAGACAGATGGATGAACCGCCTTATCAGCAGGGGATACACGCTGCAGTTCGCAGCTCAAACCCCCCCTCCCCCCCACCACCACCACCCCGCCATTTGGAGGAATTTTAGAGACGGTTCTGTCATGTCCAGAACAGATCTCGTTCCTTCACGCATAGGTTCAGGAACTTCTGGTAAAAAATGTAATTTCCAGGGTTCCAGAAGAAGAGGAAAACACAGGGTTCTACTCTCGTTACTTCCTGGTCCCAAAACGGACCGGAGGGATGAGACCCATCTTGGATTTGTCAATTTTCAACAAATTAATCACGGAGAGACAATTTCATATGTTGACAACCAGACAATTGTTAGACAACATTCAGCAAAACGACTGGTTTACCTCCATCGATCTGAAAGACACCTATTTCCACATCCCGATCATTCCAAAGCACAGAAAGTTCCTGCGCTTCTCCTTTCAAGGGACCCAGTATCAGTACAACGGACTCCCGTTCGGGTATTCCCTCGCGCCATGCACGTTTTCAAAATGTGTGGAGGCGGCTCTGCAGCCGTTACACACTGCAGGGATGAGAATTCTGTTTTATCTGGACGATCTGTTGCTACTGACCCATTCCAGACAGGAGGCAGCAGCGCAAACTCTGACGCTGACGTCACACCTGCAAAATCTCGGCTTCACCATAAACTGGAAAAAGAGTTCAGTTCTCCTGGCCCAGATGATCATTTATTTGGGAGTGGAGCTAAACTCCGTCACTAATGAGGGCTCGCTTATCTCAGATGAGAACCGAAGCTCTAAAGGATCAACTCCGCCACGTGAAACCGGGCAGTGTGGTAACAGCTGTTTCTGTCATAAAGTTGTTAGGAGCAATGTCATCGGCTCACACGGTGATCCCGTTGGGATTACTCCACATGCAACATCTCCAGAGGTGGTTCGCTCGTTTGCGTGTGGATCCGGTGAGACAGAAGAGACGGTTGATCGCTGTGCCCCCCTCCGTGAGAAGCGACCTGAGACACTGGGGAAATCCTCTTTTTTCTTTCTACCTTTATTTAGACAAGTAAATCCCATTGAGCCTTGAGGACTCTTTTACAAGAGAGACCTGATTTCAACAAAGAAAGATGATGACAATGGACAACAGCAACAACAATAAACAATTATAAAAAGTAATACTGCAGGTTTTTTTTTTTTTTTTTTTTTTTTTACAAATAGGATGGCTAAAAGAAAAAGGTAACAAAAAAACAGCTAGATTCTAAGGCGAATGTAGAAAACTAAAAACAGGAACATGTCTGCTTTGGTCCCTGCCAGGAGTCCAACAGATTCTTAAAGCCACTTAGAGAGGTCAAGGTCGAGAGCTTAAATTGTTTTTTAAGGTATTCCAGGAAACAGGAGCAGAGTAGGAGAAGGCCCTTTTGCTTAGTTCAGTCCTCATTGAGGGAACACTGCAGGTAATAATGTCCTGAGAGCGCACGCTGTAGCTGCACTCATGCAAAGACATGTAGGAGGAGATGTATGAAGGCAGCAGACCAAGAAGTGATTTAAAGATGAAAATGTACCAGTGAGAGAGTCTGCGTGAAGTTAATGATGTCCAGTTAACCAGTGAATACAGAGTGCAGTGGTGGGTACGATAATCACAGCCAGTTATGAATCTTAGTTCACCATGATAGACAGCATCCAACATCTGCAGGGTTCTTGTTGGAGCGTTCATGTAAATAATGTCACCGTAATCAATGGAGGGAAGGAAAGTCACAGATACAAGGCGTTTTCTAGCATTCAGGGTTAGACAGGATCTGTTTCTGAAAAAGAAACCCAGTTTAACTTTCAGTTTCTTTACCAAGTTTTCCACATGGAGCTTAAAAGAGAGATGTGAGTCGACCAAGATACCCAAATATTTATAGGAATCAAC